ATTTACATTTAGTCATTTAGCAGATGCTTTTATCCAAAGCGACTTACAAATGAGGACAATGGAAGCAATCAAAATCAACAAAAGAGCAATGATATACAAGTGCTATAATAAGTCTCAGTTAGCTTAATGCAGTACACGTAGCAAGTTTTTTTTAAAATCATATAATAAATAAAAAGAAAACCGATAGAATAGAAAAAGAATAGAGCAAGCTAGTGTTAGAGGCCTTTTTTGCTTTTGTTAATCAGAAGTCAGAAAGTCAGAATTATAATTGTATAATAAATAAAAAGAAAACAAATAGATAGAATGCAAAAAGATTAGAGTGTTAAAGTGTTAGTTTATTTGTTATTTTTTAAAGAAAACAAGCAGTTAGTAAATAAACAGAGTGCAAGTCTAAAAGGGGCATTTATTTTTTATTTTTTTTTATAAAGAATAGAATTAGAATAGAGAGTTAGAGGGTCAAATAAAGATGGAAGAGATGTGTTTTTAGCCGATGCTTGAAGATGGCTAAGGACTTTATCTGAAATTGATCATTTATCTGAAATTTTCACATCCTGTACCTCAGTTGGGACATTCACAACAAAAAAATAGGCCTACACTTTTTTTTAAATAATAAAGAAAATAAACAATTGGAAAAACAATTCTGGCTGCTACTATAGGCTCAGTGCTAAAAATCTTATACAGATAACCAAATTACAAGCAATAGCAGAAAATAAATACAATACAACAAAGACACAAGTTCAATAAACAGTGCTTTTCAGGTTTTTCAGCTCAGTCTAAAATAAATGTTCAGGTATGCTACAGAAATGTTATAATTAAATAGCCTAACTGCATAGTCTTCACTGTATAAATTAAATATATATGAATCATTTTTGATGTTACAAAGGTTATTTAGTCAGGAGCAGTGAGCACTTGTATTTTTCTTTGACAGCATTAGATTTATTATTAGTTTGCTTTCACTTTTAGAACGAAGCAAGGATTTAATATACTGATACACGTGCCTTCTCAACTGTTTACGTTAAGACATATATGCGCCAAAACGCGCATTTTGATGTCATGTTGTATGTATTTATTCATCCATGCACAAAAAAAGCGAAAGAGAGTGTGCGTGCGCGCAGAAAACTTCTCACACAGCGCTCGACTATTCCGCAAACAATCCCAAGAGTCTTTTATGCTCACATTGTGCCTTTGGGCAGTCCTTATATCGAGTCCTGATAGGTGAGTTTGAACGAGAATGCACGCGTTGGCGGTAATGCATAGACGGACATTATGTGAAAATGTGGACAGTGCCAAAATAAAGGTGCTTATTTATACTACAGATATCAATATTTTACGTGTGGCATCGATGCATCGTATCGTCAGACATCGTATCGATGTATCGATCCATATCGATGAATCGTTACACCCCTAATCACAACACTTACGCACGCTTTCCCCTAAGCATAAACAAAGCTGATTACACAGATTACGTTCATGCGCGCGCTTTCTCCTCGGAACGTAAGCAACAAAGAGGTCCTCACTGCAGCCTGTAGCGCGACGAAACAAGAGAACAAAAAGAGCCAAACCTCCTAAACCTCTTGTTTTTGAGATGGTCCTCACTGCAGAACACAAGATCCAAGATCCAACTCCTCCCACCTTACATATACCTAAACCTACCCGTCTCCACCCCCTGATCCCTAAACCCACCCATCTCCACCCCTAAACCTACCATCTCCACCCCCTAGATGTGGATCCAACCCCGCCCCCTGGATCTTGTGTTCTGCAGTGGGGGCTACTGTGTTTTTCTGCCCCTTCTTCTTTGTCGTCTCTTTCCCACTCTCCTTTCTCTCCTGCTCGCACCCCTTACTGACACCCACAGGCGTCTCGTCAGGACGAGGATGGAGCTCCGCCATGTGGTCATGAAGAATGATGTCAACTATCTATATTAATATAGTATCAAAACATAACTTGCATTCAGAATGAATTAACATTCACATGTATTTTTTCACCATCAGTTTTATTTCATAATCTTCGTGTGGTTTAAAATGTAAAACAAATAGGCTATACTATTGTATACATATTATCATTATTATAAATATTTTAATTACACAGTAAGATAACTTTGAGATTTAACTTTAACAAACATTTAACAGCAATAACCGTTAATGTAATTATTTTTTTCCCCCAGTAAGAAAGGAAAAGATAGATGTTTCATTTGCGCAGCGGCTCCCAAAATATGTGGCTACATTTAAATCTAATGCAATGTGATGCATTACAACTGCAGGCACTACACATGCACTATTTGGTGAAAAATAATTGAAAGAATGGCTCTTGCAAAAGATGCAGAAATATACAGATAATGGAAAAAGCCCCTTTATTTATTTATTTTAATAGCAGGAATGTAAAGGAAATACCACAGAGGGTTAAAATACCTGATTCCCTGCATGTATCAGCATTAATGTGCATGGTATATCATACATGATTGCAATGTCTTTTTCACAGTTCACTTTGGTAACAAGATAGTAATAAAAATTTTATTTATTTTTTTTATTTATTTTTGAGTTCATATAATTTTTTCAGATTTCACGTTAGATTTTGAATCTGCCAAACGCACTTCACTTGCATCTGGCAATTACTGATATTTGAGTCATCCACAGGAGAGCAGCCAAAAGCTTAGGGCAAAAATTAACATTTTTATATATATAGTTTATTATAAACTATATATAATAAATATGCAGTTCTGCATGCATGTGAACTGAAAATGTAAGCTCATCCATCATGACTTTCCTATGACAATCATGAGAACAGCATGTGAGGGATACACTGTATAATTGCTTTGTCATCATGAAAGGCAATGCATGGTTAAAGATTGAGCACTATGGCAAGTAGCCAA